ACAATAAAAAGTTTCATTTCTCTTCTCGTCTTCTTCCTATCCAATTTTCTTTTCTTCTTTTTTTTTTTATTTATTTTGTTTTTTTTTTAAATTTTTTTTAATTTTATTTAAAAATTTTTTTATTATTTCTTTTCTTCAAAAGGCTCAAAGGGCGTAAAAATAGGCGGTTATACATTTGAAAATCTATAGCGGAGCATTCTCAACGTTTATCAGTATGCGTGTAACTTATCTCGATAAATTCACCAGCACCCCAACGCAAATGACTAATTAAATATATCGGCGTATGGATTATTTATTTTAAAATTTCTCTTCGTTGGTGTTCCGGTATCGCGTTGTTTGATCAGTGTAAACGCGTCGCGTATGCTCCAATGAACAATACGTGCACTCACTTGTGAAATAAATCATTTGCGAGCATTAAAGCTAAAACATTAATAAGTTTATATTTCATTCGGACGTCAAATCAATGAAGCGATCAAGAGTGTAATGGCATTAATAAATACTTTAGGCGTACGTGTTTACTAAAGGTCTGATAACACCTCAGGATATTAAATCTATGGAAAGGCCACTCGCGACGGTGGATATTCGTTTTGTTGATGATACCAGAATTCGGTACAAACAGCTAAATATCATAAATCTCGCCACTCTTGACACTGTAATTAAGAAGCAAAAAACAATCTATTTAAGAAATTCCAAGGAACTTGATACGCAATTAATTTAGAGAGTAGATCCTTAAACAAATCCCTAAATAAGAGCAAATATTTCAAAAATATCGAAATACAATGTAATTAAAGTAGCAATAGACTATATGCTAGACGCTTATCCTCAGGTTAGATCAATCAATCAATCAATCAATCAATCAATCAATCAATCAATTAATGAATTAATGCGGGAAAAATGCTCCCTAATGAAAAAAGTTAACGGATCTCCTTCCATCTGCTTCGAAAAATTTAACAAACTTCTTGTTTCTCTTGTAAACTTTACGCTTATGCCAATTTCTCTTACAGATGCAAAGGAATATGTAATAAAGTGAGCCAACGCTCATTAAATAACATCAACATTAAGTTAAACGAAAATATATCACACGGTTGACATTATGCGATATTAAATATTAAATTTATCATAGAGCCAAAGACATCAACGTTGTTTTTTATCTTTTGTTTTTTTTATTTTTGTTTGTTTTTCTTTGGTTTTTTGTTTTTAATCTCAGACTACCGCAGAAATCATAAAAAAATCACTGAAATAATCAAAAGCGAGACGATGCATTAAAAAGTAATCAAACGTCGCTTTTCTCATGTCATTTAAGCACGGGAATTATTTATAATGAGAACGGGATACGAAGTTAATCGCTTTAATCCTATTAGGAATAGGTGTAACTAAAATGCTAATAACTTACAATCGCCTCCACATCTACAATTAATTAACAAAATATCAAAATTACTATCGAGCATTTTCCCCCTTCAAATATTGACAAATTATATTTATTTAGAGTAATAATTTTATCGCGAATCTGTTTCATTGTCACGCCATTTGTTTTTTTTTGTTTTTGTTTTTTGTTTTTGTTTTTTCATTTTCTTATGTAAGTACCATCCTTTACTTTTAATCGCGAACAAACTTCAGCTAGTACTATTACCGAAATTATGTAATGTTATTTTATACATTTGATTAAAATATATCGTTATCGTTGTAAGTCTGAAACTTTTTTCTGCAGTTTCGCTTACGCGTCTGAGGAACTGAGGAATAAAGACAACATCTCTTGAAGCGCTCAATCTTAGGATGAGGTAGGCTTACATTGGAACAGAACGAGGTGCACTGAAGGGTAAACGCGCCTCGTCGTTGCTCGAGTAATCCTAGAGTGTAATCGGCGCTCCTAGACAACGCGGGGAGGTTTTTGGATCGCGAGCTAGGGTCACAAAGGGGTTGCGCACTCCCTCAATGAACAAGCGCGGCGCTGTGAATAGGGTGCGGCCTAGTGGAAATATAAAGAGCGGCGCCCACGCCATGGCAAAGCCATCGGACGGAAATTGAAATCGGCCCCTCATTTCCTCCGAAAGCGCGGCCCTCCGGCCCATTTGCTCCGGCCGTAAAGCCCGTCGATCGAGTCCGATCGTAGCGAGGCGAGGGTCGCTTGCTCCTCGGCGCGTAGGAGGCGCGCGGCGAGGAGCGAGGCGAGTCCGGGTCCGTGTTCGGCGACGGGGACTGGGCCGGTGGCGGGGGCGAGGGCGGGTGGGGTTGTAGCGCGGCGGTGAGGCGCTCGAGGCTAGTCTCGACCGGCACTCGCCTCATGCGCGCCGCGCGCGAGGCACCGGCAAAAACGCGTCTCTGCTCGGGTCCGTTTCCGAGAATCGCACAGTGCGCGTCTTCATCGCCGTCCTTCGTTGCGACGTTCGGGCCATATCCTTCGGTCTTGCTCGCCGAGAGTGCGGCTACGTAGCTGAGGGACTCGTCGTGGCCGGATAAGCCGGCCGATCTTAGTCCTCTACCTCCTCCTCCTTATTCTTCTCCTTCTCCTCTTCCTCGTCCGCTCCGCCTCGCCGCCCATCCAAAAACCTTATCCTCCTCTTCCTCCTCCTGGCCCCTCCTGCCCTTTCACTTCTACCGTCGATTCGAGGAGTTTTAGAGAGGTTCGGCGAGCCTGCGCAGGTGCTTTTGGGAGTGGAGTCGATCACATCGGCGACCCCTCGGAGTTCCCCTTGCACGCCCGAGGAGAAGGTTCGTGGGAGCTTCAATCTAATCTAGGATGCCCCCGGTAATGTCGTCCGCTAAGAAATACGAGACCTGATCTGATGTGCCGTCGCACCGATTGACGTCGGCTGCATTTTCTCAGGCCATTTACTATTTTGGCTTCTTGTGTCGAACGGACGTTAGTAGTGTCGAACTTGGCATTTTCGACAGCGTCTTGACGGCTAATATAAAAAGTTCTTTTTGATCGTATATTATACGGGACCGAGGCTCTTACGTACAATGGTCCATTTAAATTGTCCCGCGTATGGCCGTCTTAGTATTTGGCAATATTCCTTGTATTTCAAGCAGGAACCAAAGTTTTTCTTAATTTTTTAAAGTATACGTGTCACTTTTCCGCGATATTGAAAACACTGCTTAGTCGGACGTCTGAGATATTCCTCTTCCCAGATCCCATTCGTGTCGATGGGATTATGTGCGCTCAATGACACACTTGAAATTCACGAAATCTTACGGTTTTGATAATTAATTATCGCTATTATCGCCATTCGTTATGCTGTCGTTGCTAGTTCGAATGCACAATGTTGGAAGATTTTCATAGATAATCAGACTATTGAAAACAGGGATCGGCCGATGAATTCAGCGAGGAAATGAAATCACTGATAATTGAGAAGTATTTGATAATCATTTGATGAAAATTTATGTCTGTTTAAAAATCAAATGCTATACTAGAATTACAAGATTTACCATAATATTACTCGAGCATTTCATAAATATAATTATTGCTAGATGCCAAGTTCTACACTGACTACTATGACAATCATAAATGGACATATACTTTGATATTTTGTTGCTGCAAATGGTATCGCATTGTTTTAAATAAACTGTCGATTTTGTTCGAAATCTAATACGAAATCTATCATTAATCTTCGATCGGTATAGTAATATTTTTCAAAATTCTCAATGAAATATAACTGACTCGTTTTATATTAGCAAGTCTGCATTGTTACGAAGATACACTCAGCGGTTCACTTGTAAACAATATCATCCCGATTGATGTGTAGAAATATGCACATGCACGCACGCACACACACACATGCTCTCTGTCTCTCTGTTTCTCTCTGACTGTCTTTGTGTTTGTCTGTCTGTGTCTTTCTGCCGCTCTCTCTCTCTCTCTCTCTCTCTCTCTCTCTCTCTCTCTCTCTCTGTATTAGATTATTAAAATTCATAATTTTTAATTTCGGGACAAGAAAGAAATGTTTACCTTCGAATCATCTTCTATTTAAATGCTTGATATGACAGATTATAATATTTCGAATTTTTGCTTTATTCCTAAATTTCGTTTTTTAACCGCTACGTTGCTTAAAAGCACAACTCCTCTTGTCGCGATTACGCAAATTTTAAGTATTTTCAATTCTAAGCGATAGCGAGAACAATATCTTGTAGGAATATACTTTGTAATTCTTATTCTTCGTGGATGACGTCTGGCATCATTTTAAAAATATTATGACTTTGATTTTCCACATCTAGCTTGGATATTCTGTAATTAAATTAAATTAAACGAATTCATAAGTGTGACGTCAATTTGTGTTTCACTTATCACTGAGAAAAAGTATTAAGAAATGCATTATCGTCTTTTTTTAATGTGGCTTTTTCTCAATATTAGTTAGATAAGATATCAGAAATAGTTTACGTTTGTCGTGATTGAAAACATAAAAGTTAAGATTTAAAGATTGTAAATTCTAATTATAAAGTTATAATATAGTTTACTGAATATTTTTATATGTTCGACAACATTTATTCGCTTTAAAGCATTTGTAGCTATGTAATGAAGCGATGAAATAATCAGGCTTTTAAATATTTATTGCAGAATAAAGAAAAACAATATATAATACGGATGAACAAGATGGAAAAAGGGATGAAAATGGCAATTAATTGTTTATTATCTCTTTTTCTTATTTATGTATAAATAAGATAACCCTTGGTCCGATTCAATTCGACACGTATTATAAGTTGTTTTTCGTTTTATATTGTATAATTCTTTATTTCTTTATTACTTTTGTGTATCTTGGTTTTATATAAGTGATTTATTGCGGAGTCGATGCTTAAGTACAAAATAAAAGAGAAAGGAAAAAAAAGTAATACCATGTGATTTTGGATTAAAAAAGATAGAATAAACACAGGCATACGTATATTTAATGTGATTTGTGCGCGTGTGCGAGAAAGAGAAAGGGCGAGAGAGGGTGAGAGATGGAGAGAGTGAGAGATGGAGAGAGTGAGAGGGAGAGGGAGAATCTTAACAAAAATGTATAATATTTTAGTTTCAGATTTAAAACCGATAGATTTTGATAAACCTATTTAACGACCATGATAATAAAAAAGACGTCTGGTTCGCATACCAAGCAGGGTAAGTAAAGGGATTTTTGGGCGAAGCGATTACGATTAACGTTTTATTAGTCAATTCTGAAGGGGTCTCAAGACACACATTAATAAAGATGTTACTTCTATTACGATTGGAGTGGGCGCGCGTAACCGTTACAAGTTCGCGACACGAGCTAATTAATTCGCTCGATCGCTATATTTTTATTAGGCCGAGGAGCAGGTAAGCGCTTTCGGGGCAATGTTTTTTTCGTGAGAAATCAATTAAATCGTCGAGTAGAATGCACCTGCAGGACAAGAGCAATCGAAAATTATAAATAAATTGTAGATAACATGGTGCGCACACTCGATTTTAAGCGAAAATAAATAAGCTGGAGGTTCGCAGCGAGGCGCGAACGTCGTATTCGCGAGGCCCCGCCACTGCCGCCCCGCTCCCTTCCGTAAAAAACAATTAAATGAATTTTCACTTCACACCTGTCACAATAAGCAATTCCATCAAAGCATATTAAGCGACGATTATTTCGGTTTGATGGCCGAGTGCCTCGTCGCCGTAGCCGCTGCCGCCGTCGCAGCAGTAGCAGCAACAGCATTAGCAGCATCAGCAGCATCATCAGAAGCAGCAGCACTAGCAGCAGAAAAAGTAGCAGAAGCATCAGCATCAGTAGCAATAGCGGTAACAGCAGCAACAGCAACAGCAGCAGTGGCGGCGGCGGCGGCGGCTAAAGCTGCTACAGCGACGAGCGTATCTCACGTCACCGCGGCGTCGTACGTGAGAATTCAGGAAGCCGCTGCGCTATTTCAGCATTATTCTATTTCACGCTCCGCCGAGTGCCAATATTCTCGAAAAAGCGGAACTCGCCTCTCGAGCAAATCACGCGAGCTCGCGCTCGAATTAATTGACACGTAGGCGCGCATGCACCCGCATGGGCACTGTCGGAATAACAGACGGGGTCCATCCCTAACTCGCTTTAGTGAGTTGTGCGTGCGCGCGCGCGCGCGTGTGTGTGAGAGAGAGAGAGAGAGAGAGAGAGTAAGAGCCAAGCACGGCTTAATTTACGCCGGGAGCGCTAATAACTCTCTACAGGGAAACGCGGGGGAATTCGCACGACCCTCGCCGCCACCGCCTATTTCTCTCATCCGCTTCCTTTTTGCCGGCCGGTGTCGCGAGAGCGTTTATTGGGCGCCGAGAAAGCTCGGCGATTCCGTGCGGAAAATCGCCTGGCCGCCCTCTCGTCTCGCCGCGCTCGTATTGTTCGCGCGAGACCGGCTAGGCGTGGCTCGCTAAGTCGGCGCAGTGTCCAACACCGACACCAACAGTCATTCGTTCTTCCCTGAATCGAGGAGATCCGGTAATCCCCGCCGCTGCCGTCGTCCCCGCCGCCGCCACCACCATCGCGAATAATGACAACTCGCTCGACACCTACGATTTATGCCGTAACTATCAATCTCGGAAACAACGTTTATTACGATTGAGCGGGAGAGTTGCGCTCGATGTACCTGCGCACCGAGCCACCTTTAAATAGAGCGTGTCCACGTGACGTCGGCGTCTTTCAAAGCAAAAAGTCAGCGTTAAAAAAGCCGATTAGGAAAGATAGCGGAGGCTTAGAAAGCGAAAGAGGATGAAGAGTTGGCGCTCGGTCGGCCCTTGTCCTCCCCTCCAGCTTCTTTCGTCTTAGTTGTTGCAGCTCGTGACCGCTCGTTTCTTTTAAATGAAATGTTCCTTGGATGTCTTCCAAAATTTCCATTATCAGCGGTTCGGCAAGCAGGGCCCTCTCCGCCCACACTGTAGACTTTGGATAAAGCTGCGAGAGGGATTTTTTTACGGCTTTTAATGACGCGATCGACGAATGTCGCCTCATCGTGTTATGTGATAGATGTGCGCGGCTATTTTAGTCACATTTTCGAAACCTTCGGTAAAAAATGTATTTTTACTTGAATTACTGGTGATTACTTGGTAAAATCTTACCTAATCTATTAAGCAAGTGCACATCAAGTGTCCGAGGTATTTTGGCTTTACACGATTTTTGCTGCTTCGAATTAGAGACTTTCTTTATTTATGCCGGACATGCTTTATTATTTGTACGAAGCCATCGGTTCTTCAAATTATCGTCATTTAAGCCGTAAGGAAATAACATAGACTGTTTTAAGGATTTATTTTATAAGTTATCGTTAAAACGAAGTCTTCCATAGCTTTTCTACGAACACCTTTACTTACGAGTAACCGTAATTCTTAAAAACATAATGAATTGACTTATCATTCAGTTCAACAATTTAACTGATTCAGAATTCAGCAATTGATTAGCGGTAGTGCATCTCGTCGTGCTAATTATTTTGTATAAACATAGCTTCTTTAAGTATCCGTCAAAGTTAAAGCCTTGACTTAATTATGTAAATGTATAAAAAAATAATTGTAGATATTCATTAAGACAGATTTGCTCGGATTCGGATTTATATATTTTCAACGATAATAAACGACACCAAATAATAATAATTTTCAATTATAATTTTCCTCGCGCTTCAGATATGACGATACTTAAATGCAACAACTGCAGAACAATAGCTACTGACTGTAAGCCCTTGATAAATAAATCACGCTGTTTTACCGACATTAAGCGTAGCTTAAATTCTTTACGAGATTAGAAATTATGCAATAATCGTGCATCTCAGCTCCGAAATTCGACTTTAGCTTTCGATCCGATAACGAACCCATTGCAGAATCCGTATTTGTTCAATATGATGAAATCGAATTACATAAACCCGACGAATTTTTATAACAAAACAACATCTGTTTCAGAGAGCAGTGTGAGCACAGTGGCTGGTCAGCTGAGCCAGAGTCCTCAGCACCAGCATCACCATCACCAACAACAGCAACAGCAACAGCAGCAACAACAGCAGCAACAGCAACAGCAACAGCAGCAACAACAACAGCAGCAGCAACAGCAGCAGCAACAACAGCAGCAGCACCAACAAAGTCAGCATCAGCAAAGTCAACACCAACATCAGCAACAACAGCAGCAGCAGCAGCAGCAACAGCAACAGCAACAGCAACAGCAACAACAGCAGCAGCAGCAACAGCAGCAATATGGCGAAGTAAACCAGCTCGGTGGTGTCTTCGTTAATGGTCGACCTCTGCCCAACGCCGTTCGCCTTCGCATCGTGGAGTTGGCCCAGCTGGGTATCCGGCCCTGCGACATATCTCGTCAATTGCGCGTCAGCCACGGCTGCGTCAGCAAGATTCTCGCCCGCTACCACGAAACGGGCAGCATCCTCCCGGGTGCCATCGGTGGCAGCAAGCCCCGCGTCACCACGCCCAAAGTCGTCCAGTACATAAAGCAACTGAAGCTCAAGGACCCGGGCATCTTCGCATGGGAGATCAGAGATCGGCTTCTCTCCGACGGTGTTTGCGACAAGTACAATGTCCCTTCTGTCTCCAGCATCTCTAGGATATTGCGCAACAAGGTTGGAGCGGCGGCAGCGGCCGCGGCTGCGGCAGCAGCGGCAGCCGCGGCCGCTGCCGCTGCTATACATCATCACCCCCATCACCCGGCACACCATCACCATCATCATCACCACCACCACCTGTATGCGGCGGCGGCAGCTGCCGGGGCGGCAGCCCTCTGCGCCCCGATGCCTTACGCCCCAGCGGCCTACCATCCCCCGGTGAGCCACCATCACCACCATCACCAGGGTCCCATGAGTGAGAACCAGCCGGACGGAGGGCCTGCCCCTGGGGGCAGTTTCAGGAGATTCCTGGCGATCGAGGAGGGTGGGTACGGGACGAGGCTCGACCTTCGTGCTCAGGCTCTCGTCATTGGCCAGTGACATTCTTGTATGACGTGCGTAGATCGCGATCGTTCGTGATCTTACTTTTTTTCTTCGTACGTGCAGCATCTTGTATTTCATGACTCTGCTTTATCACATTCGACCCCCCTCAGCCGCCCCTACAAATTATAAATCGCGTATCTCGTCTATACGTGCGCGTGCGCGCTTGCAACATTATGTCTCCCGTTATGTTTTTCGAGGAATGCCCTTCTCGACTGCTGAAACGGCTTTTGCTAAAGTGCCTTTGGAGTCTCCTAAATAACGTTGCGTGCAACATCGCCTCCTAAGTTAGCGATATTGCTAGCAAATTTAGCTCGCATATACCTTTCTTCGACCCTCGAAAAAAAAAAAAATATATATATATATATAATACGTCATGATGTCTTTGGTCGCGAATTAAATATTAGGATGAATTGAAAAATTTTAATTACGCATAGTTAGTTGAAAATGTGTAATTACGAGAAGTAAGTACGAATATATTTATAAAAAGATAATTATCGTTGATTTGATTAGTCCAGAAATTTCAAGTTTCTTGCTCGTATAAGTCCATGTATACGTGAAATGATTTCACTCGATTATTCAACTAAGGAATCTTTGTTCGAAGAGAATTAAGGGCAATGATTAGGCGGCATAATGAAAATAATGAATTAATTTTTAAATCCTAACATACGTTCAGTTAGCATAATGTGGTAGATCTTTCGTTATTCCCAGTCAAAGTGCACGTTCGCCCAACAATTAATGGCTGCAAGCATAACTCTGTGGACATTAAATTGGAGAGAAAGTATGAATTGTTCCAAAGCATAGCCGAGACGTAATGTTGAAAGAGATATTCGGATAAATTTCATTTTCGTAATTTCACTTATTGCGCGGGAGGATGTAATGATTGAAACTGTGTACATCCGCTGAAGGTTTTTCAACCGGTTGACAAATATATCGATAAAGAAGATTAAAATTAAAAGTTTCACGTGCAATAATTCTATACAATCTCATGATACATTAATAATAACAAATTTTTGCTGTGTTAGATTTTCATGATGTGAACATTGTGAACTATTTAATTTTAGTTTATGCGATGAGCTATGTCCTCATATTTCATCACCTCTCGCAAGGGCTTAATAAATTGATCATTGGTCAACGTAATCCGTAATTCCGCTTTATTGCTAACAACTCAGGATGTATAAATTTGCGAAATGAAGCAAAAACGTCAGTCACAGTGCCGCTCATTATCAATCTCTTAAGTAACAATTTTTCTTATTCTTGTTTGTGTGTTAGTTTTTCTCTTCTTCTTTTATTTTTGTTTTTATTTAAAGTAAATTCGTACTTTCTGCTAAATTCGAGCGCGTTAAAAGTATAAAATACTTTTGGAGAATGAAAATTTTGAAGTTTCGAATGTCCCTGTGGAGTATTCGAGGAAGGAATGAAACTTGGTATAATCGTAATTTAGCCGTACGCTTGCGCCTGCTTCCTCTTACATTTTGCGGTACGTGAGCAGATTTAGGACTACGGTGATACAGACTTAAGACTTAAATATACGATGTAAATAATGGTGAAACATATTTTAGCGACCTTTAATATACAGTTGGCTTTTCATTCAAAATTCAATGCAAGCCGTCGGTATACCGGGAACGACATTAGCGTGAAAACGTCGATAATCGTAAATAACCGAGCAGAGACGGCGAATTAAAGAGTCGATTCGTCGAAAGCCGCGAGTTTTCGTTTTAGTTTGGCGTAGGGAGCAAAGTTGGCGCACTTACTCGCGTAGTACGTGGGGGGAAAGGGTCGTAAAGAGCCCCGGTACATTGGCATGGCGTACCGTAATATCGGCTTTATTGCCGATAGGCAAGACAAGCTCGGGGAGTCAGATATTTCTCCTCCCTCGTAAATCCAGGCGAGTCCCGACGGGCGTCGAGGTTCGAGGAAAGCCAAGCGAGCGGCGAAATATGACAAGGCCGGGGCTCGCGGAAACCCTCGCCCAGTCGAGCCTCCTGAGCGCGTTGTCTGATTCCAGCAGCCCTGCCGAGCTCCTCGCCGGCCTCCTCGTGTAAGCAGCCGAGTAACCCGTCGCCCTCGCCGCCGACGGGTTCCAACGGCCCAACGCCCACGAGCACCTCCTCGACGACGAGTCTACATTGGCCGAGCTCCCACACGGTCCATGACATCCTTTCGGGGGCGATACCGGGCCTCGTGGCCGACAATCTCGCCCGTCACCATCATCATCATCCCCACCACCACGGTGACACCCAGAGGATGCCCTCGTCGGGATCCGAGGCCGAGCACCATCACCACCACCACCACCGGCACCAGCAGTATTACGCCTCGACTCTCTATCACCACCACCACCATTTGGGACACCAGGCAACGGTCGCCGCCGGGTCCGCGGCCGTCGGCGCCGGACACATGCAGATCGCCGCCGCCGGCAGCGACAACTTCCACGTCGGCTGCGACTAGCGACGGGCATTCTCGGTCCTAACGAAACGATTTCCCTCGTTGCTTTATCGGGAACCTTCTACAACGGACTCGGCAATTATCAGCGAGCGACCTGTTCCCTCCCCTCCTCCCGCCACCTCAAGATCCATCAATTTACGTGCTTTTTCGTTCGATTTTACTTACGCCCTGCTTACCCACCCTACCCCTTTCCGATCTAATTGCCTCGGGCTGATTCTAGGGGCGGCGGTAACGAACGCGAGAAAAACCAAGGGTTAACGGACTAAATTTTCCACTCATTATTCCCATTATTAATTCGTCTGATTCATCGAGACCCTACGAGATTCTGGCTCTAAGCATTAGGCAGGACTCTCTACTGTCTCTGTCGCTGCCGCCGCCAACGCTAACACCCTAGTGTTGTAGTCTGCGACTAGTTTAAAGCCTCTCAGTCTCCTCAACCGACCGGAACCCTTCGAAATCGCCTCTTATCATCATCATCATCACCACCACCACCACCACCACCACCACCACCACCACCATCATCATCATCATCATCATCGTCGTCGTCATCATGATCATTATCATGATCATGACCATCTACGTGTTATATCCTCGCGGCAAACTGCAGTCGTAATTAATAAATGCGTTCGACTCGAAACTAATACGTATAGTTTATTACATGCATTAGTACCACCAAATAATAAAAATTTATTACTTACTCGTCTTTATCGAAAGTCGTAAACGGAATTTGCACGTATGTTTTTACACTTCACAAAAAAAACAAACAAAACAAAATAAAAAAAAAAAACAAAAAAAAAACAAAAAAATGAATTATTTCGAGCATTTTTCACGAGTAGTAAGGTCCGCTTAATTCGCCGCGAGTCTTTTTAGAGATGCACACAAGCGAATTTGGAGTCATCGCTACGCAACTTGTTTGTCATCCTGTGCGATGCCAGCGTAGGGCTGCGCGCAAAAATCGCTTTTTAGCACAATTATGCGGTGGTGATAAATATTACATACGTCCAGAGTATCTGTAACTTTTGCGAGTTGAGTCTAAATTTATTTATAATTTATCAATCTCGAATAGGAAATGTGCCTGAGGCGCAGTGTCATTTATTTAACGCCGAAGAAAATTTGGTCAGACGTATGGTATTTTGGAAGCATTTAAAATACTTTCTTTGCAAGACCTTATGCATACATACATTCTATTAGTTTTTATATTTTATCTTTTGTTACTCGAGGCATCGATCGATCGAGCTCTTTTTAATCTAAAGCCAAACGAGCCTTTTTTAAAAGATTAAAACAAAACAAAACAAATAAATAAAAAACAAAAACGAAAAAATGGAAAACAAAAAAATTAATATTACATCTTCTATTAAAAGGAATTGTAAATAGTAATAAAGCAAGTGATTCTTTCAACAAGCGTGCTATTTAGTTGATCTATAATCAAATTGAAATTACACCACGAGCGAATTATTCCTCTTTAGGTTAGGACATTAGAACTCGGATTTTTTAAAAGTTGTGTATATACTATTATAAGGAAAAGTAATGTGAAAAATGTTATTCACAGATCGACGTTATTTCACGCGTTCATTAAGTGATAAGCTTATTGGTAAATAGATCATTTGCGATTGATATAACGTAAAATGTAAAGTCGTTATACGCGACAATGTTTGCAATGTTTAAAGGACCGATGAAAATTCTACATCCATCACGAATCTGCGAAATGTATAATTTATTCATAATACAGTCGTCCCGTTATCTCCCCTGTCTCTGTACATAAACGCCAATATGTTTGGATTTCTCGAGTGTTTTCCTGTTCTTTTCTATTAAGGCTGTTTCACTAATTATTTATAACTACACAATTTATGTCTTATCCGAGCAGACGCTATATGTTTTCTTCGTTAATCTACTTACTCAACGCTAAACATACATGCCGAACAATTCGATTTGTAAATTTGTAACATTGCACAATTGACGAGGAAAGAGGCGCTTAAAACAGCCGATAGTTCATTTAATTAAATTCACGCCGTGTTTACTGCATTTGACAAAACAAAACAAAAAAAAAACAAAAAACAAAAAAAACGACTTGCACAAAGACACCGACAAGCGAGGCGTCGAGGCAGTCGCAATCGTGGCTTGCTCAAAATAATTCGCACACGTTAAAGGAAATTAAAAAAAGAGTAGTCATATATTTTCAGCATATCCAAGATGCTTTGTGCGTCATGACGATTTATCACGTGACAAATAAGTGTTAATCGTCTATTATTAATCGATCGATGCGACTTGGGAAGCCTTAAAAAGCCAGTTGATTACTCCCATTCGCGACGACGTTCGAATTCGCCAAGTACGGCACAGGATTCGCACCCCGCGTACGTCGCGCAATAGTCGTCTTAAGCATCGCAATTGCTGCAACATTGGATCTGACACCATCGCCCCCCCCTCTTACCCCTTACCCCGTCCATCAGTCCCTCTTCCCCTCCGTCACCTGCCGCTCGACCGCCGACATGCCAAGAAAAAAAGACTCGCCCCCGGGCGGCCTGATCCGCTCGATATTCCTGACTTCCTCGACCTAAAATTAACACCCGATAATCGACAAGCCAGCGCCGCGCCTGTTATCGTACTCCGAAGCTCGGCTTCTCGGAAGCAGATACTTTTCCCGAGCGCATTGCGCGGCCACTTTGACGGAGGCCGCCGCCGACAATCCGTACTATACACGTGCTCCGAAAGTCGGGGGACTTGGCGAAGGAATGGTCGGCGGGTGGTGGCGGCGGGTGGTGGCGGCGGCGGAAGGCTTCGGTCCTATCTCCCCTTGCCTGCCAGCCGGGCCACCGACCAACTCGTCAACATCAACATGCTGCTCGCCTTCCCTCCGGATATCGGACCGGCTACTACAACCGACTCAAGGGATCCTGGGCACTCGCGCTTTTCCCCTCACGACGACGACTACGACGACGATGATTCGTTTTGACACTTCGCCGAATGTGTCGTTGCACATCAGGCTATCGATCATCCGACGGAGCACTCGGCCCTCTCCTCCCCTTTCAATCGGTGTCCGTGAGAAAAGTCCCTGTCACTCCAAGCATACGGAGTTTTCCAAGTCCAGTGATGATTCGTTCGCGATCCCGAGTGCTTCGGGGACGGCCGATGAAGTGTCGTTATTCCGCCCGAACAATGACGATTAATGCTCTAAAGCCTGACTTTCAAGCTGAGCATAATAAAGTATTACTTTACGGTTACGTAAAGTAGATTAGCGCTCGACCGTTGAAGACGCGTTACACGCAAAGGGATTTAAATAGCGAATATTCGATGGAAATTGTACGTCTCGAGGGCTGTTTACGCGATTTAGAATGACGCGCTGCTAAGTTGAAATGTCAGCTCGTGATGATTATAATGTCCTTAACGGAAGCGGCAGCGGCACTTACTTTAATGCTCGCCCGAATGATAAAAGTAAGTCGAAAATTTTGTTCGAAATTTATGGAACATCGATGTCGAGTAGTCATTTGTAAGATAAATGATGCTCGCTGCCAGATTCGTAACCGAAGGTTGTTCTATTATTATTATTATTATTATTTTTGTTGTTCTTGTTGTTGTTGTTGTTCTTGTTGTTGTTGTTGTTGTTGTTGTGTTATATTATGAAGGAAGGCGCGAGGGGGTAGCTGACTAGTTGGTATGATTAAAGTCGCAGACGTAAATTCTTTCGAGCATCTATCTAATGTACATATCGAGATTGATCGAACCAATTGTGCAATGAATAAATTTGGAAAGATTATATTATACAGAGAGTATGCTTTAAAAAGTAAAGAAAATCCGTATTTAAATTCAATTTCCATGAGTTTCATGTACACTCGTGCGAATATTAAGTGAATATACGCAAGTGCCCCGACTGTGCACGTAATGTAATTACAATAAAATCATTATTGTTTATAACAAAAGCGAATAAACATGACGCTCAAAAAAAAAAAAAAAAAAAATCGAGCTTTCATGTAAGCAACGAAACTCACTCGTTTTATATTCTTTTATACATCACGTCTCTGTAATTCGTCTCCCTTTGCCTTTCGTGACACAATCCTGCATAATATTTCGATTCAGTCCCCAAATCCTTGTTACATCCGTGTCTTAATTGTGACACTAACAACGCAAATATCACACCTTATCATTTATCGTGTATTTGGATAAAAAGGATTTATTCGACAATTATATAAATATCTGAGATTTTCGTGGTTGTATAAGAATTGCTATTAAACCATACAAACTTTCAAGATTCTTACAAGATTTGCACTATTGTTACATTATTCTGTATCTCATTTACGATCTTTCTTTAAAATATCTCTTGAATTTAGTCAATTTTACTTAAATGGCAATTTATATGTCGAACATATGCATGTATAGTCCACCTATACATATACGCACATATGCATGCAGCTATAGTATATGTATGAGGCGGAAGATGATTGTAGCATTAAAAAAAAAAACAAAAAAAACAACAAAAAAACAAAAAAAATAATGCACGATTATATTCGAACGTTTTCTAAGTGACAAAATCTAAATAACAATGAGTCTTTTAATAATCGAATAGGCGTTAATGTACAAATGCCAATTTGTTGGCGGGATATTCATTTCTTAATTTGCTTTGACGCGAACGAGCGATTACTGGTTAATAACGCCATTGGGCATTGTGGAGAAAATTAAAAAAAAAAAACGAAAAAAATACCAAAGAAAAGAACAAAAAATAATCATCCAGCGCTTAAATCATTATCATTGGCTTGGCTTGCGCAATCGAATAGAGCGATATTTGCCTTTGATTTCATGATGGTTGAGAAAAATCGTTACTCTTGAAATGGCGTCATTTGGGACTTTAACTTACTCTGAGACTTATAATACTGCGTTAATTCCTGCGTGGCAATGAAGCAAATTTATGCCGCTGTTGAAAAGGCTTAAAAACGCCTCTCAGTCAATCATTTACATCGTCAAATAGTGCTTATAGGTAGCACGCGAAGTGCGTTTATTACGCCGGGTAATTTTTCTTAACAACCAAGATAACAGGAGAGTGCTACTGATCGTCGACC